CTCTCTCCTTCCTTCTTCCTCCCTCCCTCTCCCTCTCTCTCTCTCCTTCCTCTCTCTCTCCTTCCTTCTTCCTCCCTCCCTCTCCGTCTCCCTCTCTCCTTCTTCCTCCCTCCCTCTCACTCTCTCTCTCTCTCCTTCCTTCTTCCTCCCTCCCTCTCCCTCTCTCTCTCTCCTCACTTCTTCCTCTCTCCCTCTCCCTCTCTCTCTCTCTCCTTCCTTCTTCCTCCCTCTCTCTCCTTCTTCATCCCTTCCTCCTGCCTCCCTTTCCCGGCGTCCTCTCACCTGCACCTCCTTGTAGAAACAAGAACTTGGACAATTTGCCCTCCTCCTCGGAGGATATTGTGTCCACTATGAAGTGTACTATTTTTAGTAATTCCCTTTTTTTGAGTTCGTTATATATGGCCCAACAGTTTAGTATCCCCCCCGGTTTCACTCCACCACTTGTCTTTTTCCGAGCCCACTCTGAGCACATATGAAGTGCAGTGTTTGTGACTCTTTGGGTGGCACACTTGCATCAGTGTAGCATGAATTTGGATCACCATGTGACAATGGCTTAGGGCCTCGCTGTAGCACTCGTCTGAGGTGGGGAAAAAAAAAACAAACATGGCTGTGTATCTTTCCAATTTTTAGCTGTGTATACATCCGCTATTTCACACATTCGTGACCGGCGCAGCGAGGCCCTAGGAACCATTTTCAGTGGCACGCCCATCAGTGTAGCATGAATTTGCTTCTGAACCCAGTGGCTGTCAGGTCATCAACCGAATGCACCACGCTGGAAGGATTGCGTCCAAGCGTTGGTGGTGTCAACCTAAAAAGCTATCCTTGAGACTGACCTTGAACCTGACCCGGAAGTGGAATATGTCTAGTCTAACGATTTTGGCCATGTTATTTTCTACCAGATTGGCCTACCGTTTTTCAGACTAGACGTTGATGTAGGGTGTGGTGGCACTTTTCATTTGTGTGCATTGCCCCTGTGGCGGCACTTTTCGCTTGTGTGCATTGCCCCTGTGGCGGCGCTTGTGGCGCCTTGTGTGGAAAAGCAATTCACCCTGATCATTGATGTAGGATAGGATGTGGCGACACTTTTCGCCTCGTGTGTGCGGGCGCTTTTCGCCTTGTGTGGGAATGCATCGCACTCTGATCATAGATGTAGGATGTGGTGACGCTTTTTGCCTGGCGTGTTCGGGTCCTGCTAGCTGCGTAGATGTGGTGGCGCGTTTCGCCTTGCATGTTTGAGTCCTGCTAGCTGTACACAAGCAACAAAGAGCTTGACATATATGGTGCAACTGACGCCTGCCTAATTTTAGCTTTCTCGGTTGCTCACGATATATATGCGCAAGCTATATATATGCGCAAGCTATCTTTCCGGTTTAGCCATCCCGGTTACTCGCTATATATATGCGCAAGCTATCTGTCTGGGTTCAATCCCGTCATGATGATGGTGTGTCATGTTCAAGGGAAGACGGTTGCATTGTCTTCAGAGCATTCTTTGTCAGCTTTGCTATGCGATGCATGAATGCTAGCTTGCGCTAATGAGCTTGCGATCGAATCACTGTGCGCATGGAGATCGTTCATTCATAGTCTTATGAACTGCAACTACTGTATGCACGCGAATAGAACGCCCGGACAGTATAGCTGTACTTGGGGCAACTTTCAGTCCGGGCGTTCCACTCGGGAGAAGATGGTACCTTTTTCGACCACCCTGCTTACCAGGAGGTCCGTCCCTCTTCCAGCTGGTGGATTGCATTGATGATCTCACAGCCACAAGGTCTTTTTTTCCTCTTTGCTCCCTCCCCCCCTCCCCCCCTCTCTCCCCTCTGCATGGCTAGCACGATCCCTATGGTTCGGGCACAATTGTTTTTCTTTTTCTTTGGCTTGAATGTGAACGAGATGCCCTTGATGCCTGAGACAAGGGCATAGGGCTAAAAACTCCTGAGCTCGAGCTGCGGGATTATATAGAACAGCTGTGGTGAGTTCTGTTGAGGCCCGAACTGTTCTTGTTCATTGTTCAAACAGAACAAGCGAATGACTTGAATCCGTTTTTTTTTTTTTTTTTGGTGTTGTTGCCGATTGGAATCTGTCATACTCTCCCAGACACAATATCTTGTCTTTTTTTTTTCATTCTTTTTTTCAAATCACTCCACTGACTAAGAACGGCCNAAAAAAAAAAAAAAAAAAAAAAAAAAAAAGGATCGGTAATGCCGACAACCGCAAATAGATATTATCTTCCACAATAGGACTAAGCTTCCCACACACACTCGTTGTGCAGAATTTGAAACATGCATTGGTATTATCTTCCGCAAATAGATATTATCTTTTCCTCGAGTTGTCCACGACATCAGCGATTATAAATGTACGCATGATAGCATTGGCAATAATGAATGTACACAGAAATGTTGGAACTGTGCCTCCAGAATTATGTGTGGCATTGTTCGAAAAAATTCAATAGAGCCCAATGCAACTGCCAATACTTTATTGGAATGGTGTTATGATCCTTTTACATTTACAATGCAAAACTCAATTGCGAGAAAATGCAAGACTTGTTGGACTCGAAGTTAGAAGTTGGGGGGGAGAGAGAGAGAGAGAGAGAGAGAGAGAGAGAGAGAGAGAGAGAGAGAGAGAGAGAGAGAGAAATAGAATGAAGAGAAGATCAGCAGACGAAGAAGAATTATACGAGGTGAAACCAATGTTTTCTCCCTCACTTTTTCCTCTCATGGTATTCTCTCTTCCTCCTCCTCTTTCAACGATCAGCTAAATTCGACAAATGAACGAACGAATGAACAGGAATCATGTCGCTTATTCCCCCTTACTGCCATGATTCAAAGAGTCCTACTTTTAGCCATAACGTCGCTTGTCTTATCTTTGTTGCAGCTCCTACCATGGCAGTTCATCCATGCTCGTCACCGATATCTAAAGGAAGAGACAAACATGACTGTCTATGCTGCTCCCATCTCTTCTCGTCATGGGCGCACTCTCGGATAAAGTACAAAGCCAGCCAGTAACCACGCACGCCCCTTCTGGATGGCAGTCCAACCAAGAAGGTGAAAGGCAACCATAGCCAAAGGCAAGTCTCTCATGTCGCTCCCCATCTCTTTCCCCTTCTTATCCTATACACCCTTCTCTCGCCTGCCATGAGGTGCTTCACCCTCTAGCTTCATACCCTAGGCCTACTCCCTTCTACTACCATCATTTGTGGCCATGGACATCCTCTTCCTCATCCTCCAGCTCCACCTGTCAGTAGGAGCTTTGCCTACCTGCACCTTAGGCCGTTAGGCGGAGTAGGAGCATGACAACTGGGTAACATACTGCTTACTTGATATGCCTGAATGGTACACGATCGCCACTCCGCCTGTGGCCTCCCTTTGGGCGCGAT